ACAGGGCTGTGGACTGGGGCGGGGCCCGCGCTCGCGGCAGCTGCGGGTTGGGCGGCCAGCTGCGGTCTCACACTTCCGCCCGCGGCCGGTTGTTGGGCCCAGGCATGGAGGTGGGCTAGCGGGCCACCGCGGGGCCGAGCCGGGTAGGAGAGCGGCGGGCTGGAAGGCCGCAGGCGGGGGGATGGGCGCGTGTGCGCGGGCGGCGCGTGAACTTGCCCGGAGTAAGCGGCCTGGAGAGCGGCGCGCTTCGGCTCTTCCCCGGGGAGGTCGGCGCGCGGCTGGACCTCCGCGGCGTCAGGCAGGCCGCGCTTTTGTGCCTCGGTGCTCCGGGGCCAGCAGCGGAAGCTCTGCCCTTCCGGCGTGGGCACCGCGGGCTCGGGGCGGCGATGTGAGGCGTGGGCGCTGTGCACCCGCCGGGGGTGACTGAGGGCTCCCGGGGAAGGGGTCGGGCCGGACGCCGTCCTCCCCAGCGGCGCTCCCTGGAAAGGCCGCTTCGGAACGGCCCCTGCGCGCGCCCTGCAGAACCCCGTGGGCTGCAGCTGACCGCCTCCTGCACGTCCACCGCAGAGACCAGAGCTTGCAACCTGATAAGCGGAAGCCCTTTGGACAGATGCCTACCTGGCCCCTGGGGGCGACAGTCCCGAGGACTTAGGGGATCAGAGTTGTATTGCTCCCCTTTACCTTGCTAGTGTGCCTGCTGCCATGTCTCACCTTAACCGAGGTAACTCTTCAGGTGACACTGTGTAGGGTTGATGCAAGGCTCAGATGAGATGCAGCGAGTAAAAGCCACTTTGTTAGTTTGTGTTTCATTTTTAATTTCAGAAATGCCGTTTTGGGGGCCGAAGTGTGACTGTATCTGAGTGCAGAGCTCACCATTCACAAATAAGGCCAGCTGCCTCGGCAGAGAGGACCGTTTCTCCGTAGGTAATTGTCTCTTAACATTTTTTTTTTTTTAGTCATTTGCTAGGCATTAAGTACTGGGATTTCAAAGATAAACAGACTAGGTCCTTGTCCTGACACTCAGAATTGCTGGGGCAGGGGCAGGGAAGCAAAGAGGAGTTGAAACCTCCTTGGTAAATGGTTGCAAAGAGGTTAGACAAATCCCTGATGGCACTCTGGTGGAGGTGGGTGGCAGTGGGGGTATCGGAGTTGAGCTAGACTGTTCTCAGCAGGTCTTCTATTAGAGCCATTAGTGCAGAGCATTCAGGTTTTCAGCCAGATCGTTTATGGCCCTGAGCCGGGCAGAGGTATGAAGGCAGATAGATTGGGAGAGCTGCAGTTAGGGAATGCCAGACATGGTACTCTTAGAACAAGTGAAGGAGATGTGAGATCAAGAGATGGTGCTGAAGGAAGATCATGCAGGGCCTTGTGTGTTGAGCTCAACAATTTGGACTTTATTCCCAACCGTAGGAGCTAACTTGTGCTTTGGTAGTCCACTTTGTGCTCTGACCCCTGGCAACATCTTGGAAGTGGTGCAGGGGTCAGATGAGGCAGAGAGATTAGATTTCTTAGGTAATCTAGGCAGATAATGAAAGTATATGAAACTGAGTGATACTGAGAAGAAAGTACAGATGTAAATAAGGAGGCAAGTTCTGGAACTCAGGTGAAGGCAAAGGGAGGAAGTGAGTGCGAGGCGTTTCTAGGTTACTGCTTTGGAAATTGACTGGAGGGCAGCACTGTTGATACTGGGAATTCAAGATTAATAGCAGATTTAAGAGGAAAGCTTTGTTTGAGTGGCCTGTCTCGTGTGAGTGGACATAACACCATGCAGTAGAATACTGAGTGTAGCTCTCCGGAATTCTAGGTTGTCATGCTTTTTTTTTTTAGTGAATGGTTGGAACATAGTTAAGCATTTGCATTACAAATTTAACAGGAACTGGGGATATAGCTCAGTGGTAGAACACTTACCTACACTGTGAAGCCCTGTCTTCATCTCTAGCTCCTTAAGAATTTTTTTTAATGCTTAGTACTTGCAGTTGCAGACCATGCTTCTACAGAAGGTGAAGCAGGAGAACCATTCGAGCCCAGGAGTTTGAGACCAGATTGAAGTTGTTTGGGTAGATAGTGTCATAGGAGTAAGTACATTGGTATAGCTAAGAAATGCCACAGTGGCGTTTAATATAATTCAGAGTTGAGTTGAGAGCTTGGTGGATTTGGTAATAGTGATTTCTAGGGACTTGTGGAAATACTCAGGTGGGGCTGGGGAGATGGCAAAGTGAAGTGCTTGCCTTTGCAAGCTAGAGGACCTGGTTTTAATTTCTAGAAACCATGTAAAAATGCTAGGCATGGTGGTGTGCTATTGTAGTCTCAGCACTGGGGAGGCAGACAGGCCAATTCTGGGGCTCTCTGGCCAGAGAGTCTAGCCTACTTGGTGAGCTCTGAGCCAGAGAAAGACCCTATCCCAACGGAGGTGGATCGTGTTCCTGAGGATGACACTTGTGATGGTCCTCTCCACATGTACGCACATACCCACACACATCTACATGGATACACAGCATGCACACACATGCATAAGGAGGGGGAATAAAGAAAAACAGATGTAAAAGTAGAAATTTGAGTGCAAAAGAAGTTTGAAAGGGAAGCTAGAGATCTAAGTTACTTTTAAAAGATGTTTAACTGGAAACTGTAGAAGAGAGAGAGGGAAGTTTCTGGTTGGTTGGTGACTACTGGGAAGTGAATGGGGGTGTTGATGCAACTTTTTTTTTGGTCTTTTTGAGATAGGGCCCCCCTGTAGCCCCCACTGGCCTGGAATTTACTACATAGACCAGACTGACCTTGAACTCAGAGATCTGCCTGCCTCTGCCTCCTGAGTGCTGGGACCAAAGGTGTGCGCCACCACGCCTGGCTTGTGCTTTTTTTTTTTTTTTTTTTTTTTAAATTATGTGTGTTAGTGTTTTGTGTGCATGTATGTAAGTGTGCCTGTGTCATGCAATGCCCACAGAGGTCAGAAGAGGATGTTGGATCCCCTGGAACTGGAGTTATGGATGGTCGTTAGCTGCCATGTGGGTGCCAGGAATCAAACCTGGGTCCTTTGTAAGAGCAGCCCGTGCTCTTAACTGCTGTGCCATCTCTCCAGTCCTGTTGTGCTTTATAGCAGTGGTTTCTGTGTACTCTAGATTGCATACTTACCTGTTCTGATGTAGTAACTCCCAGCTACCTTGAGAAATGGTGTCACGGTGTAGTGACCATAGTCCAAGACCCCGATGGATAGAAATCAAGACACAAGAGATGCAGAGGTGTATGTGCCAGTGCATGTTTATTATGAACCAAACTAAGCTTATATAGGAAGCAGATCTGGAGTAACCAAGGAATAACCAAGGATACGTTATGTTACCACCAAGAATACATTACTTCAACCGAAACTCACATGACGTTTACAGTATCCAAGATTCAGCTGCATAATATTTATAATATCTTAGATATAGGGTGTATGGTTTGTGATTACTCTTAACAACTACAATAATCCATTATTTCTGCATAGAAGCCAAGCTGACAGTGCTGAGAAACTCCGGTGTCCATGGACTGAAACAGAACTCTTTGGTTATGTTTCCAAGACTGCCAATTAATCAGGGAAGCATAGCCTGTCAGCTCAGACCACAGAAGCGGAGAGCAGGGAAACTCCCAGGATGGAAGCATTCTCTCTCCAATGCTGAAGTCAAGGCAAGCTGCCACAGCCTAATGCAGCAGTGGCTGTGCCCATAATAATAGTAGCTCCCAACAAAATGGACATCTTTTCTGGGATGTGGAAATAGGCTAGTTCTCAAGAGTGTTTATTGTAAACTCTCTCTTTTTTTTTTTTTGATAGGTTTCTTTTTGCTATCTGCTCTGTTTTCTTTTTGAGACAGTGTCTCGCTGTAGCCTCAACTAGCCTGAAATTCACTGTGTAGACCAGGTTGGCTTCCATCTCACAGAGATCCCTGTCTCTGCCTCCTGATGCTGGGGTTAAAAGTGTGTGCCACCATGCCCTGCCCTGCTGCATATTTTTAAAAAGTATGTAGCATTTTAGTTTCACTACAGTAGCTATTTTTTTAAGTTTCAGTTGCACTCCCTTATCTGCCGAAATTGGGGTTGCAATAACAAATGTTGAAGGAATGGTGAAGTTTTCACTTTCTATTCTCAAGCTCACCCTGCACATTGAGTCAGATCACCGGAAGTAGCTTCTGCAGTCTAGGATTACGGTGATGTTCTTTCAGGGATAAGATATTCTCTGAATACAATAGTTTTATATGCTGTGGAAACAATGAGACTGTCCATTATGTGTCTTGATAGTCTGTAGTTGCCAGGATCCTGGTCCAAGGTTGGCATTAATAAAACAGCAGGGTCAGAGTTGGTGCCAGGGAAGGTGGGACTCTGCCCCTTTTTTAAAATCAGATGAGAGCAATGGAACTCATACTTTGCACTTTTTAGTAACTTCCTAATTTAAGAAGTAGTGAAGTTGAAGTAAGTATGCTTTGATTTTTTTTTTTTAATTTTAATTTTTTTATTTTATGTGTATGAGTGTCTTCCCTGTATGTAAGTGCACCTGTGTTGTGGAATGCCCACAGGTCAGAAGAGGGTGTTGGATTCCCTGGAACTGGAGTTAAGGACAGTTGTTAGCTGCCATGTGGATGCAGGGACTTGAACCCAGGTCCTCTGGAAGAGCAGCCAGCGCTCTTTTTTTTTTTTAAATATTTTATTTTATTTTTAGTGTATGAGTGTATTGCCTGCATGTATGTGAGCACACCTGTGTCGTGCAATGCCGCAGAGGTCAGAAGAGAGCTTTGGATTCCCCTGGAACTGGAGTTAAGAATGGTTTGTAGCTGCCATGTGGGTTGGTTGCTGGGAATCGAACCCAGGTCCTCTGCAAGAGTGTAGTCCGTGCTCTTAACCGCTGAGCCATCTCTCGGTTGAGATAGGGTCTCTCTGTAGCCCCAGCTGGCCTGGAACTCACCGTATAGACCAGGCTGGCCTCGATCTTCACAGAGATCCACCTTCGTCTGCCTTCCACCTAGTGTTGGGATTAAAAGCGCATGCCACCATGCCCAGCCAAAGTAATGATTTTTAAGAAATCAGTTTATAGGACAAATAAATATATTTGACTATACTTAGGCATTTATATGTAATTATTTAATCATGAGTTAAGAAACTGGGGAGTTTTTTTTAAAAAAGCTTCAGTAAAGTGTGATTTTTTTTTTGGTTTTTTGAGACAGGGTCTCCCTGTAGCCCCGGCTGGCCTGGATTTGCTAGGCAGACCTCAATCTCACAGAGGTTTTTCTGCCTTGGCCTCCTGCCTGAGCACTAGGATTAAAGGCCTGTGCCACCACACCTCACAAAGTGTGATTTCTTTAAAAAATGTTAATGGCTTCCTATTAGCAGAGATTAGGTGCTCTGCATTTTAGAGCTTGACATACTAAAAACCTCCTGCTGCTGGACTCTATAGTCTATATCCTGCTTGGCTTGGGTGGGTTTCCTGGTCTTCCCATGTCCCGGCTTTTCTTAGTGAGACTCCACATTTTTTTTTCTAATTGTCTTTCCCATGAATTTTAATACCATCAATAAATAGATCATCTTTTGGGTAACATAGATGTCCTTTTACATAAAAAGAGTTGGTCTCAACTCTGATGAGAATGCGTAGGTTAGGGCCATGGAGTTAATGGAAAGAACACAGCTAAATTCACAGTGATATTTGGAAGGGTTTTCCTCCATTTGGCTGATAATTGTATGTCCATTAAATGGTTTGTGTTTTTATTTTTTTTGCAGTTGGGATCGAACCTTGGGCCTCATGCATACGAGCAAATGTTGTCTACTACTGAGCTGCCCTGGCCTTCGTTCTTGGCTTTTGTTTGTTCAGTGGTGTCACATACATACTGGCTAGGCAAGCATGAAGCCATTGTGCCGCATGCCCGGTTTAGAGGTCAAGTTTTCAAAGAGCTGCTGGGTTGTATAATACCCTCCCTCCTATCTCAGTAAATCATTTCTGGTACATTGTATAGAAGCAGGCTCGCTTCCCTCAGGTGTGGCCCTCTTCCTTTGCTTATTGCAGATAGGCAGATTGTTGTGTAGCTGCTACTCAGGTTGGGTTTGTCTGTTTTCTCATGACTAGACTGGTGTGGGGACTTCTTGGGAAGCAGACCTCAGAGTTGAAGAGCCTTAGGTGGTTCAATGTGACTTAACTCCTGGATAGGTTAGCCCCGATCACTTGGATAAAGATGCCTTCACTATAAAGTTGTATTTTTTTCCCTTTATAAATTCTGTTTTTTGGAGGTGACTTAACAAAGTCCATCCCAGGGGGTTTAGGATTAAGCTCCACCTCCTGCTCCAGGAGAGAACTATTTGGAGACCAGCAAGGAACCTTAGAGAGGTGTGCTTGCTCATTTGATCACCTACTTGTATGATTCAATTTCAGTTCTACTGACATATTCTTTGGTGTACTGTACTGTCAGCATTACTTGTTAACATTGTTTCAGCTCAGCTATGGGTGCTGTTTTATGTGGGGTCTGGGCTCACCTTTCATTTTTCCTGCCTTAACCTGTGTATTAGTGTATTATCGGGCCACACACTTAACTTTTTACTTGGCCGTAGTACACTGTTTACTAACAATTGATTTTCTGTTTTTGTTTTTGTTGAGACCAGGCTGGCCTTGAACTCACAGAGATCCACCTGCCTCTGCCTCCTGAGTACTGGGATTAAAAATGTGCACCACCACACCTGCCTCTTGTTAGATTTTATATGCATTTAGTTAAAGCTATTTCTACTATTTTTTTTTTTAGAAATCTCTTTGAATTCTGGCTTCCATCCTACTTGCCAGTCCTCTGTGGTAGGCCATCTGTGACTCTGATAAATAACTTGCCTTCTGTATCTTCCTTTGAACCTTTGGTGTATTTGTTTTTCACATTTCCTTTTTCCTGGCTCCATCTTGCTGCTCCTTCTCTTTCTGAGTCTCTGGGATTTGGAAGATTATTTTAACTCTTTAACATTGGAGTTTGGATGGTGGAGGCCGGTTCATAAAAACAAAAACTTAGTAACAGTTACCATTTGTAGCTATTAAGAGTTTACAAAAGTGTAGGGGACAGCAGTAAGTGTGAGGCAGCAGTTTGTGTATAGCTTATCAAAGAAGAGAAGATAATCTATATGTGTTTTGCCATGGGTATAGATTATTTATATGTATTTTTATGTTTCCAGAAGGTTCTAGAACTGGCTTCTGGGGTATAAAAGGTTTTTGAGCTTTTGAGTTTGATTTCAGTAAATTAGTAAGACACTCTGCACAGTGTAGATTTTTAAACAGCCTGTGTCTGTTGTCTGTATTCCCAGCACTACAGTGTGGTGTTGAATCTCATCTGTAGCACAGCTGCATAGCCCTTTTCTCTTTGTACTGAGGATGTGTTCAGGGGGTTTTGTTGTTGTTGGTTTTGGTGGTGTTGGTGATCAAGCCCAGTGATTACATGCTAGGCAGTTACTCTGCTAGCACGCTGCACCCCTGCCCTGCTTTCAGGTTTGCGTTTGGTAGTTGTAGTGGTCAGATGGTCAGAACACTGTGGCTGCAGAAGCACATTTGAAGTTGAAGATTTGGCTCACGAGTGGAAAGTATACCGATTCTTCGTAAAGGATGGGTCTGAAGTTTTTTAAAATATTTGCTTCATATGTATGAGTGTGTTGCCTACATGTATGTGGGTGCGCCTTTATCATGCAGTGCCCACAGAGGTCAGAAGAGGGCAGATTCTCTGGAACTGGAGTTACAGGCAGTTGTTAGCTGCAGTGTGGGTGCTGGGAACCAAACCCCCGCCCTCTGCCAGAGCAGCCAGTGCTCTTAACCACCGAGTCATCTCCAACTCCTTAAGTTTTTAAATGTCTTAATGTTCTGGACATAGGTACAGAATGAGCACATGCTGTTGGTGTACGCCAGGTGGTGGTTCCACCATTGATGTCCTAAAGTGCTATGCATCCAATACCCGTCCGAGTGAGCTTCAGACAGCTGATGAAGACCTCTGCTACTGCTTGGAGTGTGTGGCCGAGTACCACAAAGCAAGAGATGAAGTGCCATCCTTACATGAGGTAATTTACATTAGACCCTCATAAGTAGGAAGAGAGCAGGGGTGAACCCTGGAACTTGAAGTACACTTCGATGGTCTTTTATTTCTAGTTCTTTTGGTATAAAATTGTTTGTTTGTTTGTTTTTTGGCCTTTTTGAGACAGGGTCCCGCTGTAGCCCCAGCTGGCCTTGAACTCACAGAGATCCACCTGCCTCTGCCTCCCAAGTGCTGGGATTAAAGATGTGTGCCACCATGCCCACCTGATATAAAAGTTTTACAAAATAGTCATTTCCAGCACTCAAGAAATAGGGCAGGAGATTTGCAAGTTGGAGGCCAGCTTGGGCTACATAGTGAGATCCTCCTCCCGCCATGCCGGGCGTGGGCCCCTGGGAGCTTCACTCCTGGCCCTCTCTTGTTCCCTCCCCTTCCATATTCCAAAGCTCCTGAGGGAGGACGAGAAGGAGAAATACTCAGAAATGGCTCGAGAATGGAGAGCAGCCCAGGGAAAGGATTCTGGGCCTTCAAAGAAGCAGAAAGTTATTTCCACACCACTGAGGAGGCCAGGCATGCTGGTACCAAAGCCGAGTGTTTTCTCCCTCTGACACATCAAACGTGTCTCTAAAGGTGACCACACTCTCCTTGGAGGGTTTTTAGTTTTTGAACATTTTCAGCCATGGTGAGCTACTTCCTCATTGTGAACAGTGCTTCCTCATTGTGAAATTGGCTGTGTTAAATATTCCCTCCCAGAAGGTACTATGGCAGATTTCCATAGCTTTATAACTCCTGGTGAGATTCCACCCCATTGTCAGGCTGTGAGTGATGCTAGTCACAAGATTCCTATTTCAAACTTTGAATTCGGGCATGACCAAGCAACTGTGCTACAAAACCTTTGTAAACCCAGGGAACTGGCCCCTATCTACCGCAAGTCTGATGATAGAGCCAGAGTCAGCTGGTGTTTGAAGCGTATGGAGAGGGCATCAGAAAGTAGGCAAGATCAGAGCTTCTCACTGTAGAGGACCTTGTAGTGGGAATCTACCAGCAAAAATTCCTCAAGGAACCCTCTAAGACCTGGGTTTGAAGCCTCCTTGATTGTGGCCACGTGAGAGTATTCTAGCAACACAAGGTGCAGGTGGCATGAAGAAAATGATTCTCTCTCCTGTGCTTTAGCTGTTTGCAAGAAAATCGCATACTGCATCAGTATGGGTACAAAATGTGGGGACTAGAAATGGTTACTCATCTGTGGTGAGAATATTGCATTTTATAGTTTACTAATTTACTTTTTTTATATGTTGTATATGTGTGTCTGTGTGTTTTGTGTTTGCATGTGTGTATGGAAGCTGCAGGTTGATGTCAAGGGTCTTCCTTGATTGCTTTCCACCTTATTTTTGAGACAGGGTCTATAGGGTCTCTCACTGAACCTGGAGTGCCCTGATTGAGCTAGGCTGGCTGGCTGGCTCCAGGTACCCCCCTGTCTGCCTCCCCAGCACCGATTATTAGAGTTGCATGCTGGCGCATCCAGCTTTTTGTGTGGGGCTGGGGATCCGAATTTCAGTCCTCATGTTTAGAAAGAAAGCACTTACCTGACTGCTTCATCTCCCCAGCCGGTTATGCTGGAGCTACCCAGTGTCTTTGTGCATAAACCTGTGTTGCAAGGAAAAGCTCTCTCTTTTTTTTGGAATATGGAAGAGAAGATACGAAAAGCTTGGCCTCATGCTTTTGACAGAAACACCAGTTGCTCGTTGTCTTTTGGAGTGTAGTCAGCAGACACACTCAGATGTTAAGAGCAAAACTGTAAGAGAGACGGCTAGATACCTCATCTCATCACAGTGGCCATGGGAAGAGATGTTTTTTCTTTTAAAAAGATTTTTTTTGAGTATTAGTGTTTTGCCTGCATATGTGTGGTATACTGTTTGCATGCAGTGCCCAAGGAGGCCAGAGAGGGTAATGGGTCTCCTGGAACTGCAGTCATCAATGGTAGTTCGCTGCCATGTGGATGCTGGGAACCAAACTCAAGTTCTCTGGAGGAGCAGCCAGGGCTCTTAATGGTGAGAGGCTAGCCTTTAATCCAATATAAGCCTTCTTCATTTAGTTTTTTGATTTGTTGCACTTTATAGATAACTGTATTTTTCACAAATTGAAAGTTTGTAGCAATCCTGCTTTGAGCAAATCTTAGAGCTGCCCCTTTACTTCCAGCATGTCCTGACATCATGTCTCTGTGTCACATTTGGTAATTTTCATATTTCAAACTTTTTCATTGTACTCATGTGTTACGGTGATTTGTGATCAGTGATCGTTGATGCTCCTGTTGTAATTGTTTTGGTGTCTTGAATTACGTTGAAATAAGACAGTGACCTTGATCAGTAAATGTGTAAATCCTATCTACTTTATTGACTGGCCGTGTCCTGTCTTCTCCTTAGTCCCTGAGACAGTCTTGAAATGAGCCTACCTCCAGTGGCCCGTAAGTGTCGGAGTAATGGGGGAGAAGAGTAGCACGTCTCTCAACTTTTAATGAAAAGCTAGGTGTGATCAAGATTAGTGAGGAAGGTCTGTTCAGAACCCACATGGGCTGAAATGAAAGCTAAATCATTTGTGCCAGATAGCTAAGTTGTAGATGCAAAGGAAAAACTCTCTTTTTGTTGGGTCTCTAGCCCAGGCTGGCCTCCAGCTCCCCATGTAGCTGAGGATGACCTTGAGCTTCTGATCCTCCTGATTTTGACTTTCTCTCTCTCCAATGCTAGGATTTCAGGCATACACCACTACATCCTATCTGAGCTGCGGTGCTAGGGATCAAAGACCCAAAGACTACTTCATGCATGCCAGGCTAGCTCACAGCCTTTAAAACTGTGGGTTTTTTTTTTTGTTTTTTTTTTTTTTTGGTCTTTTTGAGACAGGGTCTTCCTGCAGTCCCAGCTGTCCTGGAACTCACTATGTAGACCAGGCTGGCCTTGAACTCACAGAGATCCACTTGTCTCTGCCTCCCAAGTGCTGGGACTACAGGTGTGAACCACCACACCCGGAAAACTGTTCTGTTCTTTTAAATTTAAGGTATGCATACTATTATTTTTGGACATAGGGCAAAAAAGACTGACGTAATGTAAACATGACTTTCATATGCATTGGGAAACAAGATGTGACTCAGTACAGTATGAACTTTGTTGACAGTGGTTGGAACCAAACCTCTATCTCTGAGGTGTGTCTGTGTGTGATGTAGTAGCTAGTACTTCGAATGCTTAGATTTTTGTACATAGAGGAAAATGCTTTCCAAAAGAATGATGGCCACATCCAGCATGTTTTGTTAAGGTAAACACTACTACTTTTTTCTTCCTGTAGATTTTATGGGAGTTAGAAACGTTACGCCTCATAAATCACTTTGAGAGATCCATGAGGGCAGAAGTTGAAGATGATGAGCTGTATATTGTGGACAACAATGGAGAGGCACAGCTGTTTGACCCTAGTGGCCTAGACTTTGAAAATAAGCTTCGAGTTCCTCTTCTCGAAATACTGAAGTATCCTTACTTGCTTCTACATGAGCGTGTCCGTGAGTATCTTGGGTGTTTACTAAGAATTGGGTGTGTTGGGGCTGGAGATAGCTTAGCAGTTAAGAGCACTGGCTGCTCTTGCAGAGGACCCAGGTTTGAATCCTAGCACACACGGTGGCTAACAACCATCTGTAACTCCAGTTCTGGGGAATTTGATGCCCTCTTCTGACCTTTTGTGGGCATTGCACAACATGAGTGCACTTACATGCATGCACGCAGTACAGTCATACACATAAGAAAAAATTTTTAAAAAGCTGGGCATGGTGCCGCATGCCTTTAGTCCCAGCACTTGGGAGGCAGAGGCAGGCGGATATCTGAGTTCAAGGCTACCTGGTCTACATAGTGTTCTAAGCCAGCTGGGGCTACAAGGGAGACCCTGACTCAAAAAGACAAAAAAAAAATTAAAGAAAAAGAATTGGGTGTGAGGCCAGGTGTGGTGGTGCATGCCTTTAATCCCAGCACTCTTTGTGAGATTGATTGAGGCCAGCCTCGTCTATTTAGTGAGTTCCAGGCCACTGAGATCCTGTCTTTAAAAAAAAATTAGGCCTGTGGATGTAGCTTAATGGTGGAATGGTTGGCTTGCTGTATGTGTGAGGCCCTTGTTATGTATGTATGTATGTATATATTTTTAAGAATTTAAAAGTATCTGTAATAAAAATTTGTTGGCCTTAATGTATAATTTATTTTTTAGGCTGGGTCTCACTATGTAGCCCTGACTGAACTGGAACTTATTGTGTAGACCATGCTAGAACTCATAGAGATCTGCCTGCCTCTGCCTCCCCCAGTGCTGGGATTAAAGTCATGAGCTACCATGCCTGGCCTACTTAATGTTTTTATGAAAGTTTTCAAACCTAAATTATAGAGTAGACATTGAATATCTACCACATAGGTTCCTAATTCACATTTTTGCTATATTGGCTTTAACGCATATCTTGATCTAGTTCACTTTCATCTTGTCATTATCTACAGCAGGTTCTCAGTCTTGGCTCTGTAGACTTCTTAGACTTTTCTTAGAGGATGATTCTTTCTTAGAGGGTACTGTCCTGTTGATTATGGGATTGTTAGTAGTATCTCTAACCACTAGATGCCTGTAGCTTTCTCCTCCTCCAGCTTGTCACTGGTACAGCCAAAGATGTCTCCAGACACTGCTGAAGACATTGTTAAGAGGAAGGGGCAGAATACCAGTGGTTGAAAACTAGTGACCTCCAGCTTGTTGTGATGGCATTTTGCCAGTAATGCCAGTTGTAGGAAGGGGAGGGGAGGCAGGATCAGTAGTTGAAGGTCATCTTTGCTGGCATAGAGACTCCACAGCCAGCCTGGCCTACATGAGACCTCTTCTCAAACAAAAACCACCTCGCTGGTCTGTAGCAGTTTTGATTAAGCAGCATGGCAGCCAGCATGGCATATTGTAGTTAAGTTTGGGTTCTCACCTGTTCCATTACAGTTCCTAATCTGAATCTTGAACAAATAAAGATTCCGTTAATTTGTCAAATCTTAACAAGATAAGAATACTTTTTCTGGGGCTGAAGAGATGGCTTAGCGGTTAAGAACACTGGTGGTTCTTGCAGAAGACCCGGGTTTGAATCCCAGCACCCATATAGCAGCTAACAACTGTCTGTAACTCCAGTCCCAGGGGATCCAACAGCCTCTCCAGGGGATCCGATGGCCTCTTCTGACCTGTGCAGGCATTGCACAACATGGGTGCACTGACCTACATGCAGGCAACACGCATACACATAAAATATAAATAAGTAAATTAAAAAAAAAAAAAAGAATACTTTTTCTTAGGCTGAGTGTGGTGGCGCACGCTTTTAATCCCAGCACTTGGGAGGCAGAGGCAGGCATATCTCTGAAAGTTCAAGGCAGATCTCGCCATGTATAGCGAGTTCCAGGCCAGCTGGGGCTACAGGGAGATCTGTCTCGAAAAAATCAAAAACGGAAAAAAAAATTTTTTTTTAATTATTTTTATTTTTTGTATATGAGCGTATTGCCTGCATGTATGTAAGTGCACCCGTGTCTTGCAGTGCCTCAGAGATCAGAATAGAGCTTCGGATTCCCCTGGAACTGGAGTTTTAAGGACGGTTTATAGCTGCCATGTGGGTGCCGGGAATCGAATTCGGGTCCTCTTCAAGAACAGTCAGTGCTCTTAACCGCTGAGCCGTCTCTCCAGCCCCTATTTTTCCATCTTAATCCAAGGGACTCCATTTGCACACACACAAAATACTACTTTTTAAAATTTTGTTTTATGTGTATGCTTGTATTGCCTGCATGTAGGTAAACACACCCATGTCCTGCAGTACTTGTAGAGGACAGAAGAGGCTGTCAGATCCCCTGGAACCGGAGTTATGGACAGTTGTTAGCTGCCATGTGGATGCTGGGATTCGAACCTGGGTCTTCTGCAAGAACAGAGATGGCTGAGCCATCTCTCTAGCCCCAACAAAATACTACTTTAAAAAAAATTTTGCTGTGTGACGTGAGATCATATAGTTGCCTTATAAATAAAGAACATACTTTGTAGTTTTCATTTTGAGATTTTCTTTTTTTTTTTTTTTTTTTGTTTTTTTGAGACAGGGTCTCCTTGTAGCCCCAGCTGTCCTGGAACTCACTATGTAGACCAGGCTGGCCTTGAACTCACGGAGATCCACCTGCCTCTGCCTCCTGAGTGCTGGGATTATAGGCGTGCACCACCACGCCCAGCTTTGAGGTATTTTTTAAATTTGTTTATCTTATTTATGACTCGGAGTGCTTCTTAGTGTGTGCAGAGTCCAAGGGCCAAGCCCCAGTACTGCCAAAACAACAGCCAGAAAGATTTATTTTTTAAAATTATGTGTAGGTGTGTCTGCACCTGCATTTGGTTATGTGCCCCTGAATGCAGAGTCCCTGGACCTGATTGTGAGTCTCTTGATGTGGGTGCTGGGAACTGAACCTGGTCATCTGGAAGAGCAACCAGTGCTCTTAACCGAAGAGCCATCTCTTCAGCCTCCTCCAGCCCTGTTTTATCCTTTTAAAGAATTTATTTTTATTTTTATTTTTGGTCTTTTTGAGACAGGGTCTCCCTGTAGCCCTGGCTGGCCTGGAACTCACTTTGTAGACCAGGCTGGCCTTGAACTCACAGAGATCTGCTGGCCGCTGCCTCCCAAGTGCTGGGATTAAAGGTGTGCGCCACCACACCCGGCTTGAATTTCATTTATTTTTTAATTTTATGTGTATGTGTGAGTGCATGCACGTATGTATGTGCACCATGTATGTGTGTGACTGGTGCCTGAGGACACCAGAACAGGACCTAGGGTCCCCTGGAACTGGACTTACAAATGGTTGTTAGCTGCTTTGTGTGTGCTGGGAACAGACCTGGTCCTCTCTGAGAGGAAGTGGTTAGATTGGCTCTTTACCCACTGACCATCTCCAGCCCCTCTTGTACTTCTGTGTAGCCAAGTCAAGGGTGCAAGTGTTGCACGTGTTCCCTTGAAATGTTCCTAGTCATCACCCCCTCCTCAGTTTAGTTAGTATTACTGGCATATATTTTTTGAAATTTGACAGATAACTGATTTGGGGCTGGAGAGATGGCTCAGCGGTTAAGAACACTGGTTGTTCTTGCAGAAGACCTGGGTTCAAATCCCAGCACCCACATGTCAGCTAACATTCCAGGGGATCCAACTGTCTCTTCTGTCCTCCACGGGCATTGCACGACATGGGTGCACTTACCTACATGTAGGCAATACACACATACACATAAAATAAAAAAATAAATAAAATATTAAAAAAACCTGATCTGATAATGTGAGTTGGTGGTTCTGCATATGATACTGGAATGACTGGCCATTTGGAGGAGAAAGCAACCTGTTCTTAGTCTGGTCTCGGTGGACCAAAGTGTCACATACAAAAGAAATTGGACCTGTAACCATACTTTTAAGATGTACTGTGGAGATGATGACAAAACACAAATGCACATTATAGTAAAATCAAAATGAGAAGACTGATGACAGTTGTTGTCAGAGCTGGAAGTACCTCAGTGAGGGAGTGCCTGCCTAGCTTCCATAAGGGACTGGGTTTGATCCCAGCGTCTCAGAGACACACTAGCCCCGTAATTCATCTGTGTTGTAAATACTGCTACAACAGTTGTAACCTACTAATGCCTTAGTTTAACAAGGAAAAAAAGGAGTAACCAACTTATGAGACAACCAGGGAGCCAGAGTTTGCGGAATCTTGAGAGTGTTTTCTCTAAATCGTTTCTTGACTGCCTTATTTTCCATTTAGATGAGTTATGTGTGGAAGCACTTTGCCGGATGGAGCAGGCCAGTTGCTCCTTTCAGGTGTTTGACAAGCATCCTGGAATCTACTTGTTTTTGGTTCATCCCAATGAAATGGTGAGTATGAGTGCCAGGCAGCAACGTGCTGGTTTTATTTCTGCACATACTAGGTAGGTAGCTTTCATAGAAGTTTTTATTTGCTAAAAAATTTCATTTTTAAATTACTGCCCTTAGTAGAATGACAGGGGTTGGAAGTGTCAAAAGAGATTCAGGAGGGCAGAGGAACACTTCTGAGAGTGATGCTTGAATTTAAAAGATGAGGTGAGAAATAATTTGACTCTTTGACTGTCGAACTGCAGTAAAGAACACGTCTCTCACTTCCTGCCCAGAGACATGGAGTTGTTGTTTAAGATATTCTAGAAAATTATTTTGCTAGTAAGTTCGATTGAAGGGCTGGGCTTACGAGTGATGGGAGGCAACAAGAACTTACTAAATTACTAGAAATGAAGAAAGACATGATATGGGCAGGTGCAGGAGCAACTCAGAGCATTGAGAACACGCACAGGCTTTAGAGCCTGCAGAGGCCTCCGCCATGCAGTGGAGGCAGTCTGCACATTCCTGCAGTTCCATTTCATTAGCTGTTAAAACTGGGTTACTATATGAAGTCAACAGCCTCGAAAGGCTGCTTTGCCAAAATATGGAGAAAAAGAATTTTAATCGTCTCCCTGACCCCCAGGAAAGGAAGAGCATGGTAACGGTCAAGATGATGGTGAATTTCTGGTTCCTGTGATGATAGGAAAGGTCACTAGAGAGGAATGAGATAGTCAGATCCCTCAGAAGAGAAGTGTTTCTGTGGACCAACAGAGGGACAGAAGCACAAAGCAATGAATGGCCGAAGCTATAGGAGTGTGTGACTGAGGGCAGCAAAGGGTTGAGTTTCTTAGAAAGTAAAAATACACTGCTGGTCTGGGAGAGTAAATCACATGGCTATGAATGATTATTGTTCTTATAACTTAGATTTAACTTTTTATAATCACTCTCACCCCTGTGCTCATTAAGAATAAGGTAGGTTGTAGTCTGGCCTTCTCCCTAGGTCCTGCAGGTGTCCTAGAAACGTGCATTTCAGTGGTAGAGGTAATAGGACACTTGTCCAGGAATCCACAGTGTAAATAGTACTAAGAGAAGTAAGGGAAGATAGTAATACATGAAAACTAGAAAGTATAAAAACCAGGTAAAATTGTGTGAGCTGTGCTAAGTGCAGTGATGCATGCTTGAATTCCTAGAACTCAAGAGACTGGGGGCAGGAAGATTTGAAATTCCTGGGTTATAAGCTGGGTGGGTGAGTGAGAGAAGGCTTTTTTTTTTTTTTGTCTTTTTGAGACAGGGTCTCCCTATAGCCTCAGCTGTCCTGGAACTCACTATGTAGACCAGGCTGGCCTTGAACTCAGAGATCCACCTGCCTCTGCCTCTGGGATTAAAGGCGTGTGCCACCATGCCTGGCTGCTTTTTAATTTTTCTTTTTTACCGTATGAGTTTTTTGCCTGTGTGTATTTTAACTGCACCTGTGCATGCAATGCCCACAGAGGCCAGAAGAGGGCATTGGATCCCCTCAAACTGGAGTTACAGACGGTTGTTAGCCATCATGTGGGTGCTGGGAACTAGACCAGGGTCCTCTGTAAGAACAGCCAGTGCTCTTAACTGCTGAGACATCTCTTCAGCCCCATGAATGCTTTTTAAAATGTAAAGATGTGCTGGGTGTGGTGGTGCATGCCTTTAATCCCAGCACTCAGGAGGCAGGGCAGAGGCTGGCCGATCTTGGTGAGTTCAAGGCCAGCCTGATCTACATAGTGAGTTCAAGGCCAGCCTGATCTACGTAATGAGTTCGAGGCCAGCTGGGGTTACAAAGAGACCCAGTCTCAAAATACCAAAAAACAAACAAACAAAAAACATAAAGATGTTAGGTAGTTGGGAATGGAGCTCAGTTGAAGTGCTTGCAAGAACTCTTGGGTTTGATCCTTAGATAGCATAAACTGGGTATGGTGGTGCACACCTGTCATCCTGGCAGTTGGGGTGGAGGCAGAAGGATCAGAAATTCAAGGTCATTCTCCATTACAAAGCAAGTTCTAGGTCAGCTTGGGATACATAAGACCCTGTATCAAAAAAAGGGGAGTATTAGATGTGATCATAAAAACAGGTACAGTTGAGAAAATATATTACTGATTAAAAACCAGATTAAGCAGCTTCCTAGAAAGAAGATAGTTAAGAACACTAGCTGTTCTTCCAGAGGACCTGAATTCTGTTCCCAGCACTCATGTGGGGCAGCTACAACCACCTATAACTCGAGCCTAGGGGATTCAATGCTCTTCTGAGAGTACCTACAGACATGTGGCATATACATACACACACACACACACATTCATATACACGTCAACTAAAAAAAATATAAAAAGCTAAGAAATGACTGTGGAGGATTGTAGTGCTAGTTTAAATGTAAGAAGCCTAAGAAGAGTAAAAGATGGAGACAGATTTACTAGAATTTGAAACAAGACTGCAGATTCTGTGAGATTGAGGGCTCTGGAAGAGGAGAGGTGGAAAACTCCATAAGCTGTGCAGAATAGTGAAATTAAAGAGCACCAAAAACAAGTTTTAGAAAATTCTCCCCCCAAAAGATGATTTGCAAAGGCATAAGAATCATTTGGACACCAGAGGTCAGAACTGGATACAGGAAGATGATTTTTTTTCATGGCACCAGAGTTTAGGAGATTTAATTTGTCTTAAAAGCCACTGAAACAAAAGTTTAAAGTTTCTGTTGCAGTCCCCAAAATAGAAGGCTCTAGGGAAAAAATGTTTCTCATACAGACTGAAAGAAAACAGTGGTGTTTATTTTTATAGGGTATTGAGGGAAAAGGGTTTAAAGTACAAGCTGGATCTCCAGTCAAAACTCCCAAGTATTAGGATATAATCAAAATAGTCTATTTGGCTGGGTGTGGCAGTTGTGGCGGCACACCTTTAATCCCAGCACTCGGGAGGCAGAGGCAGGCAGATCTCTGTGAGTTCAAGGCCAGCCTGGTCTACATAGTGAGTTCCAGGGCAGCTGGGGACACAGGGAGACCCTGTCTCAAAAAGACCAAAAAAAAATTTTAAAAAAATCCTGTTTATACAGGGTTCTTTAAGATTTGCCACACAAAAGACTTTCTAAACTAAGTGTATAGAAGAGTCCAGGAAGTACTGCAAGGTATATTAGTGGTGAGGACCGAGTTACTAAATGAAGCCAATAGCTGTGGTTCCTTGCACCAGTCTGGATAATGTACTTACATCTGTTAACTCTAGTTCCAGGGGATTGGCTGCCCTCTTCTGGCCTTTGTAGGCACCAGGCATGAATGTGGTGCATGTACATCCATCGAAGCAAGCATTGATATGCATAGAATAAAGATAAGTCTTTAGAAAAAAAAAAAAGAGAAGGAACTAGGAAAAAAGTTCATGTGTAAAGACAGATTTAAGGAAATTTGTGAATAATATAAATCAGCTGAAATTTATCAGCTAAAGTTGGGTTAACAAAAAAAAAAAAAAATGAAGGCAGTATTTCTAACAGATACACCCAAAACTTAAGGGAACAAAGAGATTGACATAATGAATGGGAAAAGAGCTGGGAAATATTCAAGAAAACGTGGGGCAGTTGTGATCGCAGTAGATGTTAACACAGGAATGGATAATGTTGAATAATGCACTTGTTAAAATAACAATAAATAAAGGTGCCGTAATTATCTGTAAAACTGGAAACTATAGGTAAAATGTTGTAAGGGATTTCAGGATCTTACTGTTGATGAGTCAGTAGACAAAAACCAGGAAAGCATCCAGTATCTGAGTGACCCAGTTTTGCAAACTTGATATGATGGGACATATATGTGAGTTGTATATCTAATCAATATTTAATTAAATTTACAAAAGTAACTAAATGCTAGACCGTGGTGAAAGCACCTACATGTTCCACAGAGCATTCAAAGGATTTCATAGAGAAGAGACAACATTGAGTCTGAAAGGAAAGTTGATAAATTTAACCATAATTAAGACTTTATCAAAAGACAACCTAAAAGAAAATGAAAATACAAATTAAAAAGTTGGAGAAGATAAACAATGCTAACAGAATATCCCAAAGGAAAATAAACATCTACAGAAGCAGGTCCCAAAAGGAGGGGCTGCTTCTGTTGAATGCTCAGGACACTGTCTGCAGTGATGTGCCGTTTTACTGCTCCTGTCATTGCTGGTAAGCTGAAGCGCGTCATAGAAACTCTTCTCAGCTCCTCTGCAGAGGGACACCCTCATCTGAGCATTTGTCAGATTGCTACAGGCATCTCCTGGGTGAAGCTGCCACGGGTACACAGGAAAAACTCCTGGGTGAGGGTGGTAATAACCTTGAGCAGTTAGATCAGAAGATCTCCTGAACTCTGATAGGGTTAGAGAATACGTATATTTTATGTATATTACATAAAAGAGGGACTTGTAAGTCTATGGAAGATGAGGCATAGCTGGGTGCAGTGGTACACACCTTTGATCCCATCACACAGGAGGCAGAGACCGGCAGATCTCTTGAGTTTGAGGCCAGCCTGGTCTACATAGTTCCAGGTCAGCCAAGGCTAGCTACATAGTGAGACCCTGTCTTTGCAGAAAACAAACATATATATGTATGTGTGTGTGTGTGTGTGTGTGTGTATATAACAAGATTCAAAAAGAACATGTAGGTGTCATGAGGTAACCACCAGAGAAGACCACTAACTAAGACAGAAAACAGCCAAAAGAAAGTCTTTATACCAACTGGCAACTACACTGGGCATTCGGGGTCCCCCCAGCCTTTCTCAGGGTAAGCTTTCATACAGAAAAATCAACCCCTACCCCACAGTGGCTTCTCATATAGCTCGGGTGGAAAAGTTCCTAACAGTTTTCTTCCTGCAGATGTAAGCCAATCGAAAAATAGAAAAGGGTTAGAAAAGCAGTTAGCTGGAGCGACCAGGCACATGCCGACCTTCTTCTCAAACCCACACCCTGGCAGCCTGGCTTGACACACTTCGAGACAACTGCCTCTATAGTTTTCAGTTGCTGGGATCAGTGAGGGCTGGAAC